TGTTTGCTTTCATTTTAATAACCTCCAAATATACCTTGTTAAATATACAAATGCACCTATTACATGCTTACGATTATATTTCCATCTTACCCAGCCTTACAACTACACGTACAATCCAATCGTTTATAATTTTTTATCTGAGTTATGGCGATATTAAGTTCATAAGCGCCATGGAGCTCGCCCCCAGAGCTGTTAAAATCTAAAACAAATTTGATGTATCGATTGCGCGTAGAAAATGCTGCAAAAAGTTACATTACAACTTTTTTGCGCGTGCAATTGCTTAAGAGTTATAAGGGAAAAACACTTGGGGGCTGCCCCCAAAACTCAGTGGCTAATTTCTATTGATTAATTATGACAACGAATTATCTATTATTGATAAAAGGATTGCGCGTAAGCTGCGCGTGCCGCCCCCAAACGAAATGATAGCTTAAAAACCTTGGATGGTAATTATTAATGCAAACCTGCTTTACGCAATAATTTCAGTTATACGGTTAAACCGCAGCCAACGCGCATGCGCACCTCTCTGACGTGGGAAATCACTAGATAAGAAAAAAATAGTACCGAAGGTGAGGCGCAAGATTCAAATTAGGTCTAATAACACAAGCATCTATCACCCAATGACCCAGGGCGCTTACTGGCCACTCTGTTAAATAAATAATTATTAATAAATAACACAAGCGCCTATCACCAAATGACCCGGGGCGCTTACTGGATACTCTTCTAAATAAATAATTATTAATAAATAACACAAGCGCCTCTTACTTAGTGACTTGGGGCGCTTACTGGACACTCTGTTAAATACATAATTATTAGTAACCCAATCAAAAACTTCAATGCTGAATCAATGCTGAATCAACGTTGATTTTAGCAATAAATCAACGCTGAACCAACGTTGAATCAACGTTGAATCCATGAATGACGGAACACTGAAATCAGTCGTAATTTACATTGTTGATTCAACAATGATTCAACTTCGAATGAACACTGATTCAACGTTGAATCAGCGTTGATTTAAACGTTAATTTAATAATAGAAAAATATAATGCGTATTCAATACAGTTTCACATCAAATAACTGAATCCCCCTGATTTGGTGTTACAATACGGATAGTACCTCCATATATATACGTCAATATATCTGCTCCAAATGTTATTATACTACTTTTTAATTTTTGAAAATTTAATTTTAACGTTTCGATCAACGTTGAATCAACGCCACTCTGTTAAATAAATAATTATTAAAATAACACAAGCACCTATCACCGTATAACCTGGGGCGCTAATTGCAAATCTAGTAAATAAATAATTATTAATAAATATGTCAAGCACCTTTTTCCTGATGATCCAGGACACTTATTTGCAACACTATTAAATAATAAAAAGTTGATCGATAACATATGTAAACATCACAATTTTTATCTAGTACGACAAAGATCTTTTTAATTGGCGCTCTTGTAATTACTTGATAATTTTTTTTAATTGAAATTTTAACATCAGAAGTCAGTTTTTTTGTTCATCTTATTAATAATTATTTATTTAAAAGAGTGGCCAGTAAGCGCCCCGGTGCGCATGCGCGTTGGTTGCGGTTTAACCGTATAACTGAAATTATTGCGTAAAGCAGGTTTGCATTAATAATTACCATCCAAAGTTTTTAAGCCATCATTTCGTTTGGGGGCGGCACGCGCAGCTTACGCGCAATCCTTTTATCAATAATACATAATTCGTTGTCATAATTAATCAATAGAAATTAGTCACTGAGTTTTGGGGGCAGCCCCCAAGTGTTTTTCCCTTATAACTCTTAAGCAATTGCACGCGCAAAAAAGTTGTAATGTAACTTTTTGCAGCATTTTCTACGCGCAATCGATACATCAAATTTGTTTTAGATTTTAACAGCTCTGGGGGCGAGCTCCATGGCGCTAAGTTCATAGGGGGTACCGAACAAGCCACTGAATATATCAATAAAACTAACTAAATAAGTCATGAGTATTATTTTACCGGGCTACATTTAAACTTAAACCTAATGTCAGGTTTTAGTTCTACCAAAAATCCGCTAGATGCGCTACTTGTGGGTTAACATTAGTGAGCTTCGAGGGAGTAAGCGAACAATCTTGGGACCGCTCGTGATTAGTCGATCGCCATTTGAAGCTCATGGAGACTTTTGTCATATATTTGTATATATGTAAATATCCATACACATATATGTATATCGTAACATATATATATATGCTAAATAATGCATTTTCAAGCTCACACCTTTCTCCATGAGCCTCAAATGGCGGACATTGTCTCCTCACACCCTCGAAGCTAACTGTTTTAACATGACGAATAGTTTTTCGTAAGCTCGAAAGCTTGATTAACATTCACTTTGTCTTACTAACTGCCGTATATATTTTGACCAAACAATGCTTTGTTTCTTTTTTTGAATAATAATGAACAGAATGACATGAAATCTTAAGGAATCATTTATTAAATTACAATACACTATTTGCCAAAATGTTAGAGTATGCTGACGAATGTAAACGCCAAAAAATTATGAATGAAAAGTAAATTCTAAACACGTACTCTATAACTATAAGCATTCCTTTACTAAAAGTTGTACCCTAGTTATAAATTTACTGAACATGATTAAGTAAAAAATTGTAAAAACTTATTTCATGCTAAACATGTGGCCATCTCAAAGTATATGTATATTGACGGACTTAATCAAAAGATATTAAATAAACATAGGCACCAAGGATATATGGGTTTTCTACAAGCGCCCCGGGTTGTGTGGCAATTGGTGCTAGCGTTATTTTATTACTCAATAAAGCGACCAGTAAGCACCCCGGGTTGTGCGGTGATTGGTGCTTGCGTTGTTTAATGTATTTTATTAATTATTATAGCTCTTGAGACTGCTGATGGGCGGGTTGGGTTGTTGGGTTAAATAGCTTGGGACTAATTTAGTAAGTTATGGTGTATGAAATTTTGTCGAGTGATCTGGGGTCTTGCATTTTTCTCCATATAGCAAATTTGAATTTCCCGCAAGTGTGATAGCCACTTACTGAATTTACGTCACGATGTAAGATGAGACAGGTGGTACGAAGTACCACCTCTGCCGAGTTACAATTTTGTAGCAGTACCAAGTTTTCCACCAGATGGATCAGTGTCGAAAAGGTAGTATATATATATATATACACATTTTAAATATATTCGATTTTAATATAAAAACACTTGATTAATTAATATTGTTCATTTATTTCAAAAATGATGAAATTTCTGTTAATTTTACCATCGCTGCCCGGCACACTGACACAGATCAAAGTGTATTATCTATT